CCCCCAAAAGGAACCTCCACCGGAAACTGCCGAGAGCAAATCGCTCGCCAAAGCCCACTTCACACAAGCTTGAGCGAGAACGCCTCACGCTCTCACCTTCCACGAACTGCGTTCAACGATCCTCCGAATTTCTATGTTTCGCTTCACGAAAACAACTCCAAAGAAACGTTCCAAATGCACGTGTATTTTTGCCATTTTATGGTCCTCCTTTGGAACCAATCAAAAAACTTTTCTTGGTGTACATTCGCACATGCACAAGAAATCACTCACAGCGGTGTGCGCGCGCCTGTGCATACATGTCCTATGGTATGCATGCTTCTATGATGCTCACAAACACCCACACAAAATGCCGATCTTTGGGCAAACTATTAGGTGCCATACCTAAGGTCGTGACAACTAAATCTAAGCTCCAGGCTAAGGCCACAGCGATCTAAGGCTCCGATCTAACTCTAGGCTCCATACGCTATGGTCTCAACCACTAAGTCGGTGACACACACATGTCCTACGTCCTCTCACGGATTCTTCCGTGCTTGAGTGACTGCCCGAAGGATGGCTCTTGCAAGTTGCCTCGAATACGCTGCAGTTCTGCTGAAATCTACGTCGTCCATGGGCGCATGCTGAGCGCATGCACACGATCCAAACCTTCGATGCAACGATTCTGTAAACCCTTTGCTTGTCGAGACAAAAGCTAAAGCCTTTCCTACTGGTAGGTTGTTCTTGCTCACAACACCCGTTTGACACAGGTACACCTTGCACACTTGGTTCAAACCTAACTGCTGCAACACCGTTGTAGTCAAATCTCGTTTCCATATGCTATTTCGCCATGGTAGTTCAAAGCTACGCGAATCTCCCTTTTCCATGATGGTGGGAATTGCCTTCATGATGGATTCCCACTCAACGTCACTTGCAGTCGGCTCTCGATCACCTGTGAAGCCCTTCAGCGGGCTACCGCTGGAACAAGGCGTGGATGCGTGCACATGAATCCAACGTCCGGCTTCACGATGTTGCCTTAATAGCTCTCCAACTTGTCGTTGCAACGCCTTCGACTGCACATCCGACACAATGCCAATGTAAGGAATCTTGGAGGTCTTGCACGCCAACTGCAACTGGGAACCCTTTTCACAACAAATCTCTACAAAAACAAACGGATACGCCTCTTGAACTTCAACTACTGCCTGATTCAACACATGTAGATCCCTAGTTGGCCCACAAACCTCTTCAAATCCTAACCACGACACATACCTGTTCATGAGTGTGGCGCTTAAGCACTTCGTGTACATGTCTGCTGCGTTGGCGACTCCTGGTACAAACTTGAGCTTGATCTGCTGCTCTGCAATCTTGTTCTGTAACCATGACAATCGTATTTCTATATGTGTGGACCTTCGAGGGATGTCAATGCCCTGAATGAGCTGCTGCGCCGATGCCGAATCCGTCAACATCACTGTCATGACCTGGTCTGTGTCCGAAGCTTCACCCAGGCCCACCATGATCCTCTTCACAAGCTTGGCCAATGAAGTTGCACTTTGACATGCTGCTTGCAATGCGTACGTTTCAGCCTCACACGAACTGAGCGCCACCGGTCGCTGTTGCTTGGCTGCAGTTCTAATGAGACCTTGTTCAAACGTCAACACTTCACCGGAAATGCTCTTCCGCATATTGAATCGATATGGTCCGTGCGATGCGTCACAGTATCCGTGAATGTGAATACCCAACAAGTCCTTCTCAACATGGTCGATGGGAAACTGCGGTGAAGGGAAAACCAAACTGACCTGCCTATGACCTAAAAGATACCTCATGACTGCTCTGAGCGCTGCTTCTGTCGACTGCGTTGGATCTGCCTGCTTCACCCCAATCAGCGACAACCACAACTTGATTTCCTGTCGTGACTGCGACAGCCAAAGCAAGCGACCAAGGCACCTTCTAAAACGTTGGTATGCTTCTGGGGATAACCTCTGACCTGATGCCTCGTCGGTCTTCTCCAACTGAGCTGCCACATCCGGCGCGGCCTGAGACCCTTTCTTGATGTCATACTCGGCAAACGAAGAATCAAGATAAGAAGGAGAGACATACATCGCCAACTGATCAGCCTTGGGACTCTTGTAGATCTTTCGACCCAAAAAGTCAAGTTCTCCTCCTCCTTCGTCTCCAGGAAGAATCTGTCCTGTGACCTTCACTGGAACAACTGCTGCTATGGCCTTCGTGATCATCTCCTCAGTCTCCTGATTCGAACTTCCAACAAGTATGTCATCCACGTAGACCAAAAGGACACTTGATCCGATCTCTCTTCCTTTCTTATCCCTGATAACCCCTTGATAGAGGCAGGGTTCTGTCTCATCTGACGTCATGCCAAGCACCTTGATCGTGGATGACAACAGCAACAACCAATGCAAACTAGCGTCTCTCAACCCATTCAACGATCGTTCCAAAATCAAAAACGCTGGCTCACCACTCTCCAAGCTCACACTCTGAGGAAGCTTCAGGACAATCATGGATCCCTCAGGGAGAGGGGAGTGCATGAACGCATGTGAAATGTCGAGCGATCGAAGTCGAAACTGTCGATTGGCACATATAGTCAACACTAAGCGCAATGCCTCTGCTGCTGGTGTGGGACTAGAAATACCCAAGGCTCTCGCCGAAACACTTGAATGCAGATCTTTAGCCACTATCCTACATCGAACACGCTCTTCCGACTTGTATGCTGGTACCCACCGAGAAGGGATGATCCGAGCATGTGGATATCGTTTCTTCAAACTCTGTACCTCAAACCCATCTGCTAGACGACCGGCCCGACATGACTCCATGTTCCTAACCTCTTCTAGCATGCCGCGATACCCTTGATCAACATTCAAGTTGTCTAGAGTACTGTCGTCAATCACCTCGTCTGGTTTCCAAACCAACACATGTCCTCCGCCGATCCGGATTCGTGTCATCACATGCTCCTTCCCCGGTTCAAACTTGATAGAATTCATGGAAGTGACATAGAAGTCTGGGGAGGTCAAGTCTGATCCGTCGGCATGTGATGCTGTGATGCAAAGCGGCATTGAAGTTGCTGACCACTGCAAGTCCTGAAGATATTCAATATCTTTGGGTTCTGACCGAATCTCCTTCTCCAACTCTTCTGTACTCACATCGGCATCACGTTTCACCCCCTTTTGAACGTCACCTCGCGGCGAAGACATCTCCTGCCCCTCAATCTCCATCTCTTCTGCCTTTGGGGGTTCTGAAGGAGTGTACTCTTCCATGTCTTCTGGTGGAACCATGGGTTCATCAAAACGGCCCCCCGATCCAGGGGTCGTTTTGTGATGCAGAATCTCGTCTTCTGCTTCCTTCTGCCTTTCCTGTTCAGCCTTGATCCTTCGACACTTCGCCGAATGTCTCATTCCTGGCCCATGCATCCCTGATTCACACGCAATGCAACCCGGCGTCTTCACATATGGTTGTCCTGGAACATGGCCTTCAAACGTGACTTTCTTCGATGATCTTTCTCGTTCTCCTTGCGGCGACAACTGTGATGGCAATGGAATTGGAGGCATCTCAGCGTCTTGGGCACTATCATCAACCCGCAATGGTGCCGGCTGATCAACACGCAAGTCCGACTCTCCTTCGTTCACATGACCAAGAAACCCCTGTCCAAGCTCCAAGGACCATGCACAAGGAACAATGGGTCGCACATTCCTTGCACAAAACCTGTGAACCTCCGATCTGCCATCCACAACAATCAACCCTTGAACAACTGCGCCTGTCCCCATGCCTGGATGCACGAACGCGGCCTCAACCGACCGAGAACAATTGGGCGCTAGCGCCCTGATCGAGTCCGGGATTTCCGCCAGCACTGTAGCTCCAAACATGGTGCACGCAGGTTTTGACAACGGCCGATTACACGCAATTTCTAAAGGCGTCATGTTTGTCTCCTTGGATTTACCAAAAAAGTTGTGCATCAACGCGAGGTATGTCATGCTGTCTTCCAACCCTTGCTCTGAAAAGCGTACATCCACATTGTGTGCTTGCATGTCCTTGCGCAATACACCCAAATCTTCTTTCAACCGTCTCACGTTTCTCTCTGCTCCTCCAGTCGAGCGATGCTGCTGTGGTGCACTTCGACGTACTTGGAACGCATAGTGCTTGCTGGACCTGCCAACAAGTTCAGCCACGGCTTTCTCTCTGTCAGTGTGCAAAATGATACTGCTGTTCTCAGACGTGAGTCCAAAATGCTCAAGCCACAACAGGATCTTGGAACGCACCTTTGCCACATCTGCCCACACTGGGACATAAGCAACACATCCTGACAGACGCTCGCACATAACAAGAACCTTGATACTGGTGGCTTCGTCTTCCGTTTCACACAGCTCACCAGTCTTTGAGAGAAACGCAAAATCTGCTTCAATTGATGCTTCTATCCCTGACGCACTCTTCCGCCGATGCTGAAACACACTTCGACCCTGTGCACACACGATGCACCGCGGGTCAAAAGGAAAATGACCCTGCAATCGATGTCTCTGCAATTCTTCTTCTGAGGCTCGTGACAAAGGTCTGAGGTCCCCGCCTAGACCTTCACGAACATCTGCCACTGAGGTCATTGTCAACTGCTCCAACCCTCTCACGGACGGATAGAGACGAACCCAGGGACATCCTGCATACATTGCCGTTTCACCTGCCACAAAACCTGAAGCAACGTGTGTTAACACAACGTTGTCAGGTCTTTGCACAAAACACCATCCGGCCCTACAAAGCATGGTTGTGCTTAGAATGTTATGACTTGTTGAACCTACATGCACTTCCAAAGATGCACTCTTCCAGTGTTCCTTTCCGTTTGTTTCATCAAACATCAACAAGTCAACATTCAAACTTGCCAGACCTTTCATGGTGACGCTTGTGCCATTTGCTGCTCTGAATCGTTCTCCTACCGTCAACGACTTCGTCTGAGCTCCATACGACTTGGCAAACGTTTCTGAGAGAACAGTTACACTAGCTCCTGAGTCTAACAACCACCAATTCATGTCGTCATTCAAGGCGAGTTCTGCAAGGAGGGGTTCAACACAGGGCACAAACTGTTCAAACCTCTTTGCACAAGACATGGTCTGGTTTGCAAACTGCTCATACCAACATGCACACTGCACAACTCGAATGCGTCTGGGCGCCGTGCAAATAAGTCCCTGCAGTTCCCACGGAACCGACAGGCTGTCGTGGCTGGCAGGTGTCACAGGAAAAACATGAGCATCTGACAAACTAAGATCTCCACAGCTAAGCTCCGTACTACACGCTAGTAGTAAGGGTGACAACACTAGGCTTCCAACCGCTTGACCTGGCTCCTCCATGTCATTGGCTTGCGTCCCTTGCGTCGGACTCTCATCCGCCCACCACGCATCAGGGTCCGGTTCGTCCCAATCATGAGAGCTCCACGCATGCCACCATGCGTCTGTGTCCGATTGAGTCCACCAGTCATTGTCATTGTCCGTCGTTTCGTTTTCATACACTAGTTCATTCATCTTTCCTTTCTTACCATACTTGCCTTTTCCTGTTCCTTTCGACTTTCCAGGACTGTTTCCTAGATACCCTTTTCCGTCACCTGTTCCACGTTTCGTTTTGTTTGAGCTCCCCGGAAACTGGCTACAGTTCAAACCCACGTGACCATGCTGTCCACAGCGAAAACACTTTATCTTAGTCAGATCTACTGTGCAACTGCTTGTCTCATGCTTCCTACTGCCACACTTGCTGCACTTCCCTTGGCTCCCAACGGCGTCGACTAGACCAGCTTCGCCATCATCCCCAAGCCAAAACCACTCAGCATTGTGCGAAACCTGTGACACGCCCTTACCTGCCTTCGGCGACAGGTCCTGAAACAAACGTTGATTGTGCTCCCAACGCCGTGCCGCCTCTCGGTATGCCAAATAGGAATCTCCTGCACTGTGGTGCAAGACAAAAGCTTTCACCTGTTCAGGCAACGACCTGATCAACACTGTCAACAAGTCAGCGTCCGTCAACTGCAATCCAACTGCATCGATACCTGCCGGAAGGGTCAACAACAACTTCTGAAATCTAGCAGCTTCCAAGTCCAGCTTCCTGATCACATCGGAAACCAAGGATGACGGACTTGTCTCATTCGCCTCCAATTTGAAGCTCTTGGTTGCCAACGAAGTCCGAAACATCAGAGCCTCATTCCTGGTCCTCAAGCTGTATTCAATGGTGAGTTGCCGTAACAGTTCAAAACCGTTCCCTTCCTGACTCGAATCTGTAGCCCCAAACGAAAGTGACACAAGTGATACTCCTTCAACAAATGCATTCACAAGTGTACATGTACGGGGATGCTGCGAAAACGTTGACTTCAAGATTGCCAACAGTCTCATGGAACGTGCTCTCTGTGCAACTGTCATTGAGCTCCAGGCAATCACCGTCGGCCACCGTGCCGCTTGTGATATCTCATGCCCAAACTCCAACGAAGCTTGAGAAGCCCAGCTTCCCAAATCACTAAGATACTGGCTCCATCCCAGCACCTCTGACTCCCTATCCTTCCAAGTCTCAAACCGAGGCGTTGGTGGTGTTCCAATCCACTTTTCAGATTTTGCAAACACATCAACTGGTTGATTTCCATTACCATTACCTACATTTCCTCTTTGAGTTCCTGGTTGCTGCATACTCACACTAGGTAAAGGTAAGCCCGCTGCCTGAAGGTCCGGAACAAATGGATCTGAGCGCACCGCGGGAATCTGTCCAAACATCTCTGGCGACTGCTGTCGTGTACGTATCTGTTCCTGCAAGAACTGAGTCAACTGCAAAACCTGTGCAAATGACAAAGAACTGGAAAGATTCAACACATCCTGCACACTCGTTTGCGCATGACTCATTGGTGCACATGCACTCATGCCCATATTCACACATGGCATACACTGGTGTGGTGTCATACATGGGTGTGCTACATTCGGAGGTATACACGCCTGTCCACCGAATCCTTGTTGCGAATACTGATGCTGTTGCTGCTGCACGCCATTACAGCCCCTAGCGCCTTGTGGATACATGCCTGTCTGCTGAAATGGGAATCCTGGCTGCGTCGCAAAGCCTGACGACCTAGGAACCTGCTGCTGATGCTGAACATTACTTCCACTACTACCTGACGACCAACCTACACCTGGCATCCTGGGCACTTCCTGTCCGTGAAACGATCCTTTGCCACTACTTCGGTTCCCGGAACTAGGTGGTGATGCTACCGGTATTTCCGCTGCCTGCTCCTGTTGCTGTCTTACCTGCGCGAGTCCTAACTCTGCTCTCGTCGGCGATCCTGGATCGTACATTGCTACAGCCCACCGTACAGGGCTCCGCTACCATGCGAAGCGCCACCTCTACGCGCTTACTAAAGACGTGTCGCTACAAG